AGAAATAAAAACGTTGTTCTGTTCAGGGCTTATTGTTTGCTTTGGCTTATCGAATATTCCAACGTTGGTATTGTAACTTGTGTTCGCACACAAATTTTCAATGTCTATTCTGTGCTAAGAGATTCCGTTGAAGAAAGTGAGTTTAGCATAAATGAGTAGAAACAACTAAACATTCGCTGTGCTCTCAGTTAGTGTTGCCATTTCAGAGAATAATAATTCGATCAAATCGTCCAAAAAAACTTAGAGAACTTCAAGACTTGTAAAATGTAATGAGTCGAAGAGAGAATGGAGGGTATATTAAGTTCGTCATTCCGTTTGTAACTGATCGAAATAATAATGTTAGACCTAGCAAAGTATATATATTCTCGATCAGCGTAAAAATCTATCTGCCTATCCGTCTATTGTAATTAAAAAAATGCACAGATCAGTCTTTTGTGTGCAGACAAATCAAGTTTAATGACGGTACACGATTTCGTATAGCCCCCATATAACGGTCCCCCCGATATTCGGTATTTTAATGATCTTAGGCACATTTTTCAATGAAATTGTCTGAAATTCTACACATGGAGTTCTTTGTGGGTACTTTGCCGCCTGCAAGAGAATTGTCTATATAGATCGACGATATCGTATATAACGTTACCTGCCGATATTCAATATTTTGATTATTGTAGCCATATTTTTTAATGAAATTGTCTGAAATTCCACAGAAGGGGTTCCTTCTGAGTACTTTACTCCCTAAAAAAGAATTGTCTATATGTAGTCCCCTTATAACAGTACCTCCCGATATACGATATTTTCATGATTTAAGCAACATTTGTCTGAAAATCCACACAAGGAGTTCCTTATGAGTATTTTACCCCTGGAAAAGTATTGTCTATATAAGTCCACGATATCGTATATACCCCATATAACGGTACCCCCCAATATTCGGTATTTTGATGATATTAGCCATACGTTTCAAGAGAATTATCTAAAACTTCGTACTAGAAGTTCTTTCTAAGCACTTTACCCCTGAAAGAGAAATGCCCATACGGGTTCACGATATCGTATATCACACATACAACGTTACCCCCGCGTTATTCGATATTTTTCCATTTTAGTATATACCACGGTTGCCACAGTTGGTAGAATTCAACCGAAATGGGTAACTTTTTCAGTGCTGGTAACTTGTAACGCTTTTGTTTTGGTAACTTTTAAGATATAAAATCACGATTTTATCATTTTCCGAATTTCTCATTAACAACTATGTGAAGATACACTAAATTATTTAACGGCGTCATATGCACACCTCTATCACATATGTAGATTGTGCGGATTTACTTTGATCTATTGTTTGTTAATACACACTATCTTCGAAAATTGACGGTCGACATGAAACTTCCAAGGAACATCGGTAAAAAAATATTGAGTGCCTAAAACAAAATATTTGACAGGGTGCACATTTCTTACAGAAATTATGAAAAAATACATAGAACCAGAAAGGTTCGTTCGGAGTGGAAGCCATCCACTCAACATCATTCCGGCAAAAAATAAGTTCCATAAAAAATGGACTTAATGAATTTAGCTTTAAAGAATTGACTGATTTTATTTTTAATTTAATGTGCCACATAGCTTAGCAGCTGCAGAAAAAACTTATTTAACTTAAGTTTAACAAAAACCAAACTTAGAAATAGAATATAATTTAATTCCTGAAACAATGTAATGATGGCTAAAAAACTGGCTTTACCTAATAACCAATATTATGTTCGGTCTGAAAATGATTATTTTGGAAACTGACAGCAAAATTAATTAATTTATTTAAATTCGTAAATATAATGAACTGAAATATTTTTTTCTGAAATGAATTGAAATCATTTATGTTTTGCCTTGTTATTAATAAAAGTTGTTGTTTTTTTATAATAATAAAAATATATTGGTAACTTTTTCCGGAAATTTAGTTAGGAAATTTACTCATTGGCAACCGTGGTATAGACCCAAATATAACGGCTATATTCGGTATTTTTATGATTTTAACAGAATTTTTAACGCATTTTATTCTTTGGAACATTTCCTTATTCGTGTCAAATGGTGGAAGGCATTCAAAGTTCGGTCCAGCCGAACATACTGCTTTCTTACTTATTTAATTTTCGAAACTTAATTCCTTTATCATTATATCCTAATACCTAAGGGTATTATGCCTTTTTGCATTTGTTTGTAACATGGAGAAGGAAGCGAGATGGACCCATAGTCACTTTTGAGGATCTTCATAGAATCATTTTCTGAGTCAATTTATGCATGTCAGTCTGATTGTCCATGTATTTTTGTGAACAAAATGCAGGTCGCTTTTATTATCCGATTGAGATGAAATTATCCAAAAAAAAAAAATAATTGTTTGGCCCAACGAAGAACCCTATTGAAATCTGTCTGATCGCTTCAAATTTAGATATAGCTCCCGTATATATCTTCAACCGATTTCGGGTTAATTGTGCACAAAATGGGAATATCAGTCCAAATGACCTGAATTTTAACACATCCGACCGAATTAAGTCTAGTAACAAGTACATTCATCCGATTTGTTGTTTAAGTCCCTCACATTCGTAATATGCACTCCACAAGAATGCTATTTGCTACCAGATATCAGATACAGCCCGGAAATATTTCTAAAAAATTTTGTCGAGATAGGGTCAGATTAGGATATTTCTCCCAAATATATATCTTTTCCGAGATCAGGTTTATTGTGCATCAAATAGCTTATATCAGAACAAATGAACTGAATTTTTGCAATTCCAACTGAATTCATCCTAGAAATAAGTACATCAAATTTGGTGGAAATCGGTTCAACTACAGCTATAGCTCCCACATACAAAGTGGGATGAAAAAAAAACTTTTTTTTTTCAAATTTTATTGAATGAAAGTTTAAAATGTCGGAAATAACATCAAATTTTAGAATAAGTTTAGATTTGTTCGAATTGGTCACTTTTGATACAAATTATGGCCTTCAAACGGAAATGAAACCGTCACACGCTGCCCGAATGTTGCTCTGCGGTATTTTGGCCCATTCCCGGCGAAGCGCTTGCTTGAGACGGTCACTTTGGTTTTTTTGTGCCAACCTTGCTTTCCAAAATACTCCAGACACAATAGTCCAACGGACTGGTATCCGGAGATTTTGGTGGCCATTAGGCGACCATCGGCTGTTATGCCGGCCCACACCATCACCATGGTTTCTTTGCAAACTGCTGGACAACGAATGTTTTCTCATCGGAGAAACCCAAATTCGGCAGTTCACCACTTTCGGCCAAGCAAAAGCAACTCTTTTGCAGCTCTTTTGAATCGATTTTCTTTCAGTTGTGGTGTAAGTTCTTGCACTTTTTGGAATTACAATGGCTTTATCCCGAACTAATTTTTTAAATTTTTGCCGAAGCTCACGAGCCATTTTTAGGCCACTGCGACGCGGGTTTCGATCAAGTCGCTTCTTTACTTTTCGAACCATTTCAGCTGATGTTGCTGTTTTCTTCCGCTTCTCGACGTCGGGCTACGCTACCAGTAACGAGCGATGGTACGAGACACAAAAGATTTATTGACATTTAAATGCTGGAGTGGTCTAACGATAGTCACTTGCGGTTTTGCAGCCATATATAAAGAAATTACACTATCACGCTTGAATTCCATTCTTGAAAAATCTCACCAAAATCCTTTTGTACCCTTGTAAAGAATTTAATGAGCTGTCGCTGGAATAATCTTAAAAGCTGTCGGACGAATGGCTTAGAAATGCGGTTTTTCATCTCACCCTCAGTCGGAATTGCCAAGATTCAGTTCATGTGTTTTGATATTAGCCATTTGGTGCACAGTAAACCAAATAAAGATATATATGGCAGCTATATCCAAATCTGATCCGATTTCGATAAAATTTGACAGGTATTTTTGGGCTGTATCATATTACTAAAGTGAGGGACTTTAGCACCAAATTGGATGCAACATATATGGGAGCTATAGCTATACAGTGGTTTCTATTTACCTGCATCAACATTAGCTGCGCATTGGCCTTTGCAGACCAAAAAACTTTTTTTATGCCATTTTTTTCTGAATCCCTTTATTTGAATTGTATTTAAGTGCCCAATCGATAGCTGCACATTGGACATTCCTGCCTCGAAAATTTGGTAATTTTTTTTTTTTAATTTGGTTACAAAAGTTGTATTTATCTGCACAAGAAAATTTTTTGCAAACTCAAAAAAGACACTAAAAACTACCACTTCGTTTTTGTTTTTGTATTCGCAAAAACAATAACAACACAAGAAAAGAGCATGCATTAAAAACATATACTCGCTTCCTCTCCCACACTAAAAGATGGTTATGCTGCTGCTGCTTTGTTGTGCACGAATAGAAAATTAAAGATAACTGCACTTTTTGTGAACGTAAGTAAAATTAAAGATACCTGCTTCATTGTGCAGATAAATGCAATGAAGCTACCTGCATTTTGGGCATTGCTGCACAAGATGTCGTGCAATTTTTGATTGTGCAGGTAAGCAAAAAATACTGTATCAATGTGCCAAAATTCAGGCCATTTCGTCTGATATTGGCCAGTTGGTGCACAATTAATCCGACATCGGTTGAAGATATATATGGAAGCTATATCTAAATTTGAATCAATTTCGATTGGGTTCGTCCTTTGGCCAAACAAAGATTGTTTGGAAAATTTCATCTCAAACGGATAATAAATGCGGCCTGCATTTTGTTTACAAAAATACATGAAAAGACGGACGGACTGACATACATAAATCGACTCAGAAAGTGATTCTGTGAAGATCCTCAAATGTAACTATGGGTCGATCTCGCTTCCTTCTTCATATTAAAAGGAAATGCAGAAAGACATAATACCCTTACCCCTATGCTATGTAGGATATATATATGTGTACGGTTATGGTTACGGCAATATTGAACCTTTAACTTCAAACAATTATGTCATGGTGCTGCACCATTTTAAATATTTTTTAATAACAATAAAACATTATTTATCATTTCAGAATTTTGATAATGGCCGGCACGAATACATGCCGTCTATGTCGCACTCCGTGCAGTGAATGTATCCGGTTGTGCGATGCCGGTGGCAAGACAAATGAAATATACAGTATTACTGTGAAATTCTTTCATCCAATGGTAATTTCACTCAAATTAACTTTTTTGTTGTTGCAATAATATTTAAATTTCTTTTTTTTCTAGTTTTTGGAAATCGACAAGGAAACCACAAAAGTCATTGGCGTTTTGTGTATGCAATGTTGGCATCACATATCGGGATTCAATAACTTCCAACAGACGGTTCTTCTGCTACACGCCAATCTTCATACGGTCGCAGAGAGTGCTATATCCCGAGGTCAGATACAACCTACGGGGGGAACATCGAAAGATGGTGGGGAACAACTAGACATTACAGCCGATTCGGAATTAAAAATTAAAGATGTGTCGGACACAATTGTAATACCTGATGATGATGCAGAAGTTGAAGATCGCAAAGAGGTGCCAACAACAAGTAGCTGCGGCCAATTGACCGTGACAGATCACACAGTGGAATTCCAACTAAATTCGAATGCCACCACAAGGGCACAACCTGAAATCATACTGCCTTCTACGTATGATGAGCGGATGCCACCTTTCCAAATTGGGAACGCAATGCACATCGATGAAGAGTTTTCCGACCAGGAGGGCGATATTTTCATTGTCGATGAACTAAATGATGACATTGAAGTCTCAAGCAGTTCAAATGACGATTTGCTGGAAATGAGCAGTGCACAATATTCATCGAATGCGGCTAGCGAAATGATTTATCCAGCCAGCAGAAAGAACCGAAAATCGCCAAAGGAGATCGATGAGATTATTGCCAAATGGAGACCACTCTTGAAGTGCGAAGGTTGTCCCGAATCGTTTCCCACATTTACACAACTAAAAACGCATTTCCTTGCCCAGCATCCAAATCAGGAGTTCTACATGCTGTGCTGCGGACGCAAACTTAAATATCGTTTTCGAGTCGAGGAGCATGCCATCATTCACATGAACCCGAAGGCGTTCAAGTGTCAGCTTTGTGGCAAATGTTTCACAACAAGATTTACTTTAATTGCCCACATTGGCCAACTGCATCCTGGGGCAAAGTTAGGCCCGTCGGACAACGATGATTCGCCATTCAAGTGTTCCCAATGTGGATTTAATTGTGGCGATGAGGCAACTCTGCTGGAACATTCTTCGCTTCACACAGACGAGCAAACATTTCACTGCCAGTTTTGTAATAAATCTTTTAAACGACAAACGGCCCTGTTCAAACACTCAAGACTCTATCATTCGGATAAAGACAATGGCAGCAATCCGCCGCTCTATTTTAAACAGTGTAAATTGTGTCCGAAGGCTTTTACCTATCGTACCGGCTTGTATCACCATGTAAGGAAATATCATCCGGTTGCATTTGAAAATCGACGGAAAAGAAGAGTTCCGAACAGGGATACACCATAAAGAGAGAGAGACTGATGATGTTGATTCTATTACATTTCATTGGGAGAATTTATAAAAATAAGCATAGCATTATTTATGTATTTAAGCTAGTTTTTAATAAGAAATTTGAAAAGTTTCTCAAACAAATTTGCATTTTTTTACCTTAGCATGGAAGATAGCCCCCATAAAACGGTACCTCCCGATATACGGTATTTTGATGATTTTAACGGCATCATTCGCCGGAATTGTGTAAAATTTCGTATTTGCAGTTTCTAGTGGGTTCTACGGCCTGTGACAGAAAATTGTCTATGTGGGTTCTGGTCTTTGTGCAGGCTCCATTTAACTGTGCCCTTCTATATACGGTATTTTGATGAATTTTCAATTTTTTTTTTTTGACAATTTCCAAATTCCTTCAAATTAGTGAAGGGTATTTAAATTTCGACCGGGTTGAACTTACCCTCTGTCATATGGCTAGAGAGGGTATATATCATTTGATACGGCCAAAATATAGCTCATCGAAATAAAGGTTTAAGACCCTAGGTCTCTTTGGACCAAATCCGTTTCAGGACATTTGGAGTCGATCAAGCGATGCCCGTCCATCTGTCTTTTTGGCTCTTGAAGTTAGTATCCGATTTGGTCCAAACTTGGTACATCGTAATATTATTATCAATCGTAGATCGAGTTCGGAGATGGGCAATATTAATCCTTCTAGTACCTCCCCAACAAAATGTTAAAATTAAAAAAATATATATTTTACTGCATAGAAAGAGAAAGGATAATCCGATTTTACTCTAACTTTGCAAATCCTAATATTTACATCAATGTTAGGTCAGGTGCGAAAATGGACCGTGTTGGAAATCTCCATCAAGTTCCTTCCCCACAAAGGGTAAACATTTTGAATAATTATAACTCTTATATATATGATATAAGAGTCCAATTTTCTTCAAATTTCACACATCACAATATTTTTGTTAACTCAAGGTCTGGTATAAAAATGGTCTATATCGGTCCACTCCTTCCGTTACCTCCCCCGATAAAGGTCGAAAATTTCAAAAAAAAAAAAAATAAAATAAAAAATTTACAGCAAAGAAAGAGAAGGGATAATTCGATTTTGCTCGAACTTTGCAAATCCATATACTTGCATCAGTGCTAGGGCAGGTGGGAAATTAACAGTATCGGTCCACTCTATTGAGTACCTCTCCCACAAAGGGTCAAATTTTTGAATAATTATAACTTATAAAATATGGTATAAGAGTCCGATTAACTAATTACACGTATCACCATATTTTTATTAGCACGAGGTCTGGTGTAAAGATGGAATTTATCGGTCTTCTCTTTCTGGTACCTCCCAAAATAAAGGTCGAAAATTAAAAAAAGTATTTTACTGCAAAGAACGAGAAAGGATAATCCAATTTTACTCCAACTTTACCAATCCTAGCATTTCCATCAGTGCTAGGTCTGGAGCGGAAATGACAATATCGGTCCACTCCATCAAGTACCTCCCCCAACAAAGGGTCAAATTTTGAATAATTATAACTCTTAAAAAAAAGGGTGAAGTAAGAGTCCTATTGTCTTCAAATTACAATATATTTATTTACCCACGGTCGGATGTGAAGATGGAATATATCGGCCCACTCCTTCCACCTACCCACAAAGGGTTAAATTTTTGAATATCCATGAAGCTCATAAAACGCGAAATTAACATACGATTCCATTCAGACTTGGTACATCTAAGTGTTTCCATCAACACATGATCTGTTATGTAGATGTTAGGGATCGGACCATTCCTTCTGGTATCTCCCCCATAAAGGGTCAAAGTTTTGAATAATCAAATCGATTATAAAATTCGAAATAAGCATACGGTTCCCTTTATATTTCTCACATGCCATTATTTCCACTAACACAAGATCTGCTGTGAAGATGTGATATACCGGTACACTCCTGGTACCTCCCCCACAAAGGGTAAAAATTTTTAATATCAATGAAGTTCATAACACCCGAAATTAAGATCCGATTTCATTCAGACTTGGTACATCTCAACATTTCTATCAACACAAGATCTGTCATAAAGACGGAACCATTTCTGTTGGTACCTCCCCCACATAGGGTTCAATATTTTGAAAAACATAACGCCCAAAGGAAAGCGAAATAAGCATCCAACTGTCTTTAAATTTCACATATAAAAACATTTTTTGTAACACAAGATCTCTTGTGAAGATGATATATATCTGCGAACCGCTCTGGTACCTCACCCACAATCTTCAGCATTTTTATCTGACAGTCAGATTATTGTTGATGTGGCTTAAAAGAGCCACAGTCAAATCGTTGCTGGTATCGGCTTCAATTCTGGGACAAGTTGAATTTCGTATGGAAACATTCTTATGGTATGCAAAATTCTCTGCGGCGACCCTCTTGAAAGGCCAAGTTGTGGCGAACTTCTCCTGCTTGGTGTTTCTGAAACCAGACTGTTTTCTGTTGCCCGTACATTGACGGCGGCATACACGCTGCACAAAATTGACGACGGCTTGGGCACGATGTTCAGTTGTGTATTGCTCCATTATAAATTTTCCAAGTCTTCTTTGCAAAATACTGAAGAGAAAAAGAGTTATGAGGAATTCACACCACTTCGGTCTATTTGGATCACCCTGTATTAAATCCCTTCTTTCGGAAGCTTGTCTACCTTTAAAGAAACCAAAATACAAAATTGTTAGTAAAGCACAAAAAAAAAACATGTTAAGCATTCATATAAGACGCCAGATATCTTCTTTTTATCCTCCTCAAAGCAAACTCACTTCCAAATGCTTGCAAAAATTCTATAATATTTTGCATTTCAAAACTCTGTGATGTACAGCTAAACAAAAAGTTAATTATCAACAACTGGTTGTATGTGTGAACCACTTTGAACAAATGAGCAGCTGCACACCATGTTCGTTGCTAAACAGACCGGTTTGTTTGCGATGTGCACACACCATATTTCTCTCTGGTCACATTAGTTTTAACAGAGAGTTCGAGAGAGCTGCTTGTGTTTGTCGCTTGTTGAGTGTTTTGAAAAATCCGAGATTTCTTGTTATTTTCTTCTAGTATGTATAAATATTTATCGATTTTAAATGATGTTGTATATTCTCTATTTTATTTGTTAAAAAATAGTATTTGTCTGATTACTAACTGTTTTATAATTGTGTGCACACTGTACAGAAAAGAGTGGTTTGTCGTACTTATCAAAAGTTGTTGTATATTTATTTTGTAGCAACAGATGTGCGCGTCGGAATGTGTGTATGTACTACATACATACATACATGTAGTGTGTTGAATCGTCGTAGTTGGACTATGTATTTGAAATACTATTTCATTCCTAATTGGCAGGGTTGCCAAAAAAAAATTATAAACACTCCCTCATCGGGGATAATATAAAAATATCGAGTTATTATATCTGATAAGATTTTGACTCAAATAGACGATGAATTAAAAAAAAATATTTATATTCAAAACATCTGTGTTATGAATTTTCGTAAATTCAACAACATTTAGTGTGACTCTTACGAATACCGAAAGACCCTAAAATTTATATATAATTTATACCGTTGCGAATTAAACCAGTAATGAATGTTCAAAAGTAGGGCGCGGCCGACTCTATGATACCCTACATCACTATGTGTATTTAGTAGAGTTCCCGCAACTAAAAAGTGTATATTGGGAAATTATGTAAAGTACATTATACCAACTATGAACCAAATAACATTGCTTTATAGTGCATGATATGACTTCGATAAGGTTAAAAACTATTTATTTGGACAATAGATATACCGGACCGAGTTTCATCAAATGGTAAAATTCGGCAGAATGTGAAAAAATCCAAAATTCAGTCCATTTGGGTAATATAAGCCATTTGGTGCACAATAAACTTAATATCGGAGCTATATCCAAATCTGGTCCGATCTTGATAAAATTTGAAAGAGATATTTTTGGGTCCATAAATTATCTCACACATCACACATGTGAGGGACTTAAAACCCCAAATCGGATGAGCACATATATGAGAGCAATAGGTCTATCTGAAACATTTTTTCAAAATTTTATGTACTTGCTTGACTGATTGAATTCAGTCAGATGTGCCAAATTTCAGGTCATTTGGACGAATATAGGCCATTTGGTGCACAATTAATCCGAAATCGGTTGATGATATATATGAGAGCTTTATCTAAATTTAAACAGATTCTTACCAGACTGCTGTCATTTCTCAGCCACTCTTCTGACAGCTCTTAAAATTATTCCAGTGACAGCTCATTATATTGTTTACAAGCGTTCAAAAGCATTTTGGTGAGAATTTTCCAGAAAAAAAGTTATTCGTGATGGAATTCAATCGTGATAGTGTAATTTCTTTATATTTGGCTGAAAAACCACAAGTGGCTATCTTTACAGCACTCCAGCATAAGTAATATAATAAATAATAAATAAATATAATAAACAAAATAAATCTTTTGTGCCTCGTACCATCGCTCGTTACCATGATACTGGTAGTGTAGCCCGACGTCAAGGAAGTGGATGGAAGAAAACAGCAACATCTGCAGAAATGGTTCGAAAAGTAAAGAAGCGACTTGATCGAAACCGGCGTCGCAGTGGCCGAAAAATGGCTCGTTAGCTGAACATATCGCAATATTCCATTCGGCGAATATTAAAAAATGAGCTCGGGGCAAAGCCACTGAAATTCCAAAAAGTGCAAGAGTTCAGCATCATCGCACTCAGCACGCGCCACCCAAGAATGGTTCTAAAATGGGGTGCCTCGCTTCACAATGGCCACCGAAATCACCGGATACCAATCCGTTGGACTACTGTGTCTGGAGTATTTTCGAAAGCAAAGTTGGCACTAAAAAATACCAAAGTGTCGATCACCTCAAGCAAGCGCATCGCCGGGAGTGGGTCAAAATACCGCACAGCAACTTTCGGGCAGCGTGTGACGGTTTCATTGCACGTTTCAAGGCCATAATTCGTGCCAAAGGTGACCAATTTGAACAAATCTAAACTTATCCTAAAATTTGATGCTATTTCCGACATTTTTTGCTTTTATTCAATAAAATTAAAAAAATGTAAAAATTGTGGCATTTGACTTTGTTGCAGTTTTTTTATTTCACCCTGTGAAATCGATACCGCTTTTATACAATTATTTAAGTCAAAAAGGCACTGAAAAAGCAACAAATTAAGTAATTGGATGATTTCCATATAATGGGTAATATCAATCGCAGCGTGGCAACACTACAGAAAATGGTGAACATAAATGTATCTCACAATCGAGTATTTTGCACACACACTCACGCACATTATCTGAGTTTTTCGGTTGCCGCATGTTCGCATTATTTTTGCTCTCAGTGTTTTATGTTCTCTTTTTCAATATCTCTTCTCTTTATTAGTCTGCGATTTGCTTTATCATAACAGTTTCATGTTAAGGTAGTCAGCGTAAAGCGGTGAACACTGCTGCTGTAAGAACACAACATATGGACGGTGCAGCGACATGTGTTAGCGGTGGTGAGCAAAACAGAAATAAGGATATCTAGCAGAGAATTAAAATTACGCTTTTACAACCGACACCACACTGTGGTGGGTATTATGTCTTTGTGAATTTGTTTATAACATGCAGAAGGAAACGAAATAAACAAACATAATGATGATCTTCATAGAATCACATTCAGAATCGATTTATGCATGTCCGTCCGTCTTTTAATGTATATTTTTAAACAAAGTACAGGTCGAATTTATTGCCCGATTGAGATGGAATTTTGCACTCTCTTGTTTAGCCCAAGGACGACCGCTATTGAAATCGGAGGTAATGGGATCAGATTTGAATATAGCTCCCATATACAGTGTCGTCTGATTTTTTGCACTGGAAGTCAAGTGAGAATTTGTTTTTGGTGAGTGCATTAAGCATCCGCTGTCTGGCTGGTACGCACGATAAATCTCGAAGGGAGTATTCGATTTGGCCCTAACTTGGTAAATCGTAATTTTATTATTAAACATATATCATGCTGGGAGATGGGCAATATCGGTCCACTCCTTCTGGAACATCCTCCACAAAAGGTCGAAAATTTCAAAAAAAAAAAAAAATATATATATTTTACTGCACAGAACGAGAAATGATGATCCGATTTTGCTCCTATTTGCAAATTCTAATATTTGCTTTAGTGCTAGGTCAGGTGCGAAAATGGACAAGATGGGTCTACACCATCAAGCACCTCCTTCCAAAGGATCAACATTTTGAATAATTATAAATCTTATAAAATGTGATGCAGACTTCAAATTACACATATCCACTAACACAACATCTGCTGTGAAGATAGGATATTTCGGTCTACTCCTTCTGGTACTTCCCCCACTAAGGGTCAAAATTTGTAATATCCCTGAAGCTCAAAAAACTCGAAATTGACATTCAGAATTGGTACATCCCAATATTTCCATCAACACAAGATCTGCTGTAAAGATGGTAGAGATCGGACCATTTTTGCTGATACCTCCCTTACAAAGTTTCAAAGTTTTGAATAACCAAAACGATCATAAAATCTGAAATAAGCATCCGGTTTTCTTCATATTTCACACATCTCATTATTTCTACTAAAACAAGATCTGCTGTGAAGATGGGATAGATCGGTCCACTCCTTTTGGTACCAGCCCCACTAAGGGTAAACATTTTGACATCCGATTCCATTCAGACTTGGTACATCTCAATAGCTTCATCAACACAAGATCTGTTATAAATATGGTAGAGATCGAACCATTTCTTCTTGTACCTCCCCACATAGGGTTCAAGATTTTGAAATACAAAACGCTCAAAGAAATCGAAAAAGGTATCCAACTCTCTTCAAATGTCACACATACAAACATTTTTTCTAACACAATCTCTGTGGTGAAGACGATATCTGCGACCCCTTTCTGGTACCTAACCCACAAAAGGTCACAATTTTCTATACAATTTAATCCTTTTTTTAAACTTAACTGGCGAAACAAGTCAACGATTCTTGCAACTTTACTATATCTAAATATTTCTCTCAACCAGAAACCTGAGCTGAATATGGAATTTATGATTTCACATAAAATTGGATAGAAATGTCCGATTTTCTTGTAATTTTGCCGATACCGTTATTTATACCGTACGCCATATGTTATGTCTTTGTACATTTGTTTGTAACATGGAGAAGGAAGCGGCATGGACCCATAGTTACTTTTGAGAATCTTTATAGAATCACTTTCCGATCACTTTCGGATTAATTGTGCACCGGCCGAATTTAGCTTAGAAGCAAGTACATCAAATTTGGTGAAAATCTGTTCAGATATATATGTTTCATTCGATTTGGTGTTTAAGTCCCTTACATTCGTAATATGCATTCGACAACAATGATATTTGTACAGATACCTTATAAAGCTCGGAAATATATTTGACAAAGTTTATCACGATCGGCTATCGAGATTTGGATATAGCTCCCAAATATCCTTAATCCGATTTCAGGTTTATTGTGAAAAAAATGGCTAATATCAGCCAAAATGGAGTGAACTTCGGGTCGTTTTTTCCATTTTGTGGAACTGGGCTCTGATATATATTTTTATACCCTACACCACAAGGTGGTCAGGGTATTATGTCTTTGTGCATTTGTTTGTAACAGGCAAAAGGAAACGAGATAGATGATGATCTGCATAGAATCACATTCTGAGTCGATTTATGCATGTCCGTCCGTCCGTCTGTCCGTGTTTTTTTTTTTTTGTAAACAAAGTACAGTTCGCATTTATTACCCTATATAGATGAAATTTTGCACAAATCATTTATTTGGCCCAAGGACGAACCCTATTGAAATTGGAGATAATCGGTCAAATTTAGATATAGCTCCCATATATATCTTCGTCCGATTAGCCTTTTATTGTGCACCAAACGTGTAATATCAGTCCGAATTGTATGCAATTTTGCACATACAACCAGATTAGGCCGGAAAATAAGTATGCCAAATTTGATCGAAATCAGTTCAGATATAGCTATAGCTCATCCATTTGTTATTTTTATCCGATTCATCCGATTTGTTAGTTTAGTCCTCCGCAGCCATAATATGCACTCTGTAACAACAATATTTGGGGGAATATATCAAATACAGCTCCGAAATACATTTGCTAAATTATATCGAGATCGGTTCAGATTTGGACATAGCTCCCATATATAACTTCGTCCGATTTACTTTTTATTGTACACCAAACGTCTAATATTTGTCCAAATGAGATGGAATTCGGCACTTACGACCGAATTGAGTCTAGAAGCTAGTATGTCAAATTTGGTGAAGATCGGTTCAGATATAGCTATAGCTCCCATATATACTGTTCATCCGAGTTGTTGTATTTGTCCTCCGCAGCCGTTATATGCACTCTGTGACAACAATATTTGGGGAAATATTTCAAATACAGCTCAGAAATACATTTGCGAAATTTTATCGAGATCGGTTCAGATTTGGATATAGGTCCCACCTATAACTTCGTCCGATTTACTTTTTATTGTGCACCAAACGTCTAATATTTGTCCAAATGGGATGGAATTTGGCACATGCGACCGAATTGAGTCTAGAAGCTTGTATGTCAAATTTAGTGAAGATCGGTTCAGATATAGCTATAGCTCCCATATATACTGTTCATCCGATTTGTTATATTTGTTACCCACAGCTGTAATATGTACTCCGTAACAACGATATTCATACAGTTCAGAAATATCTTTGCCAAATTTTATCGAGATCGGTTCCGAGTTGGATAAAGCTCCCATATATATCTTTATCCGATTTCATATTAATTGTGCACCAAATGGGCAATACAAGTCCGAATTTAAGATACAAATGCTTCGGTATATTTAGTCCTTTGAATTTTAAATTATAATTATAATCATAGGGTGTATGATTGAATTCTCCCATAAAAACTTTTAATTGTTATGTGGAGCTCTACTAAATTAGCAAAGTGGTGTAGGGTATCATTAAGTCGGCCCCGCCCGACTTTAAGACTTTCTTTACTGGTTTTTAATATAATCCTTCTCATGCACTCTATAGCAATGCTATTTGGTATAAAATATTAAAATGTCTCCGTCAAATTTAGTTAAAATCGATTCAGAATTGGATATGCCTCCCACATATTAGTTCCATATTATAACTGCTCTAAAGCCAAATGTTTATAGGTGATATGATTTACTTCAAATTAATTCTTTTGTTACGGAAGCTCTACTAAATGTGCATAGTGGTGTAGGGTATCATATAGTCGGCCCCGCCCGACTTTTGACTTTTCCTTACTTTTTTGTTGAAAATGTTTAAATTCCTACCAAATGGTGAAGGGTGTTAAAAGTTAGACCGGCCGAACTTACTGATTTTTTATACCCTCCACCATACATAGTATTGAGGGCATATTGAGTTCATCATTCCGTTTGTAATTCATCGAAATAATAATTCTAGAACTAACAATTCTTGATCAGTGTAAAATTCTAAGACGATTTAGCTCTGTCAGTCTGTTGTAATCACGCTAGAGTCAAAACAAATAAATATAGAAAGCTAAAAAGGTAAAGTGCGAAGATGAACTATATCGGTCCACGATATCGTATAGCCACCATATAACGGTATTCGGTATTTTGAAAATGCCACATTTTTCAATGGAATTGTCTGAAATTCTGCGCAAGGAGTTCTTCGTGACTACTTTACCCTCCGAAAAATAATTGTCTAATAGGTCCACGATATATATGGGGGATATAGCGGTACCTCCCGATATTCGGTATGGTATCACATTTTTCAACCGAATTGTCTTAAAAACCCACAAAAAGAGTTCCTTGTAAGTACATTTCCCCCTGGAAGAGAAATGTCTACATCGGACAACGTATATAACGCTACATTTTTGACCGGAATTGTTTTAAATTTTATACTTAAAGTTTAAAGCTTGTAATAAGTACTACTACCTAAGACGGGAAATTACCTATGCTGGTCCACGTTTTCGTATAGGCCACATATAACGGAACCTCCCTTTATTCGGATATTAGGAACATCATTCACCGATTTTTTAAAATGTGATGATATTAGCGACATTATTTAACGGAATTGTTTCAAATTTCTTATTTGAAGTTCGGAATCGGTAATACAGCCTATGCTAAAAAAATATGCAGATCTTCGTCATGGTGGAGGAGGGGTTTAAGATGCTGCTTTTTTACTTGTTTTACTTATTTTTCTTTTGTTGTATATAACCCTAAAATTAATCTTGAAATTAAATTAGATTTTGTGTCATTACAGAATAGCCGATTGCAATGGCAGCTTCGAATGTCTGTCGCTTATGTCGTGTATCGTGCTGTGATAGCATACGTCTCTATGATGCCCATGGTGAGACGAACGAAATCTATGCCATCACTATAAAATATTTTCAGCCCATGGTAAGTTTGTAAGATGGCCAGAAAATATATGTGCCTCGTATATCGAGAAATACAAATAAGTTTCATAATTTTCATTTATTAATTTTTAGTTTTTAGAAGTTGAACCCGGTGCTTTAAATCAACTTGCTGTCTTGTGTGCGGAATGTTGGCATCATATTTTCGGTTTTAATAATTTTCAACAGACTGTTCTGTTGTTGCACATTAATCTTAACAAGGCGGCCCCAAGTGGTACCGAAACTTTTTCCCCAGTTAATTCGCACATAATGCCAATAGTGAAATGTGAACCTGAAACCATTTCAATACCAGACGAAGATGAATTTCAAGATATTGTAAACACGAGTGAAATAGAATCTAACCATTCCGATGAGATACAGTTAATTATTACGGATTGTGAAAACCCAGATGAAACTAATTTGAATGCAATTGCATCGGAAACACATCCCCAAATAATACTTAAAAATCCCAATTCCGAAGAAGCGGCATTTTGTCCCCAACAAACCACGGATGTGGACGAAGTCGTCCATGGCGACATGGATAGTGAAGAAAGTTGGGATATTGGTTCGATTTCAAAATCACATGAGTCGGAAGCGCCTTCATCCACAGAGGCTGTTAAAAATGAGGAGATACCAAAGGATACATTTAAAATCTCCGATCATATTTATCGACCCGTCAGAATAAATAAATGTATATCGAAAAAAGTGGATGAAGTCATTGCCAGATGGATGCCAAACATACCATGCCGTCTGTGTTCCATAACCTGTAAAACATTCAATGAACTGAGACAACATTTTCAGACAAATCATCCCGACGATGAATTCTATTCGGAATGCTGTGGTAGAAAATTTAAATTCCGTTATCGTATGGAGGAACATGCACTCGTTCACTTGGACCCGAATGCTTTTAAGTGCACCCGTTGCCATAAACTATTAACGTCAAGAGCCAAATTTTGGCAACACTGTCTTCAATACCACAAGAAAAGTTGATTTAATGGAGATATGTATCGGAAGAGGAAAGCTTTATACAAAATTAGAAGTCTAGGTTTTTTAATTTATTACTCGAAAATTCGTGTTATAAGTACGTTGTAAGCAATTAAATAAGAAAAAATAAATGTATCTACAAAAATAAATAAAAATGGCGCTCAGTTCGGCCAGGTGAAATCGTAAATAATCTCTAAGTTTGTATGAGACAAGCAACAGTGGCATTGATGAATCTTTTGCCGAACACACTTCGCCGAGAAGGTCTTCTTCATTGCCCATACTACAGGGGGTATAATAGCTTTGCCTCTCGGTCCCCCCAAATAATCAGGTTAAATCCAGCAAAGTATATATGGGCAATATTGCCAATTTTATACCCTCCATCATTCCATGAAGGCTTTGTCATTCCCTTTGTAACTCCTCGAAATATTCATGATGGACCCTACAAAGTATATAAGACGATTTAGCGATGTCCGTCTGCCTGCCTGTCTGTTGTAATCACGCTATCCTTCGAATGAATTGAGGTAGAAGGCTAAAATTTTGCATACATGTGTATTTTGCCAGTAGCAGGTTAGGCTCCTAAATGGGCGAAATTTTTCAAGTTCCTTCTAAATGGCGGAGGGTATTAGTTTTGCCACTCCGTTTATAACTCCTCGAAATATTCATAATAGACCCTACAAAGTATATATATTTTGGACCAGCGTAAAATTCTAAGACGATCTAGGGATGTCCGTCTATCTGTCTGTCCGTTTTTTTTCTGTCTGTCTTTCTTTCTACCTCTTCGTCTGTCTGTTGTAATCACACTATCTTTCGAACGAATTGAGATAGAAGGCTAAAATATTGCATATATGCATAGTTTACCAGTAAGCAGGTTAACTTCGTAAATGGACCATGTCGGTCTACGTTTTCGTAAAGCCCTTGTATAACGGTATCTCCTGATATTTGGTATTTTCATGATTGTAGCGACATTAATTACCGGAATTATTTCAAATTTCATATTTAAATTTCGTAATGGGTACTACAGCCTTAGACAAGAATTTTTGTATGCAGGTCAACGTCTTCGTATAGCCCCCATATAACGGTACCTTCCGATATTCGGTATTTTGACGATTTCAGCAACATTATTCACCGAAATCGTTTCAAATTTCGCATTGGAAGATCTTAAAGGATGCTACAACCTATGGCAAAAAATTTCGTATGCATGTCCACGTCTTCGTATAGCCCCCATATGACGGTACCTTTCAATACTCGGCGTTTTTATGATTTTTGCGACATTATTCTCCGGAATTCTTTTCAAATTTCGTATTTCAAAATCTCAATGGGTACTGCAGTCTACGACAAAAGATTACCTATGCAGAACCACGTCTTCGTATAGCCCCCGTATTGAGGTCATTATTTAAAAGGTATTTTTAGATTTTTTTTAAATATTTCAAGTTTCATCCAAATGGTGGTGGGTATTAAAATTTCGGTCCGGCAGAACTTGGCTGCTTTTTCTATTTATAAAAAAACATAATTTTTTCCTTAGTTAACATCAACGACTTTGGTTTAATATTTTGAGAAAAAATTGACATTTCTAATCAGTTCGTGTTTCTAGATTTGTTTCGCAAGTTATGGTAGATAAAAGTTTGTGGGTGAAGGGGTTCACAGATACATATCATCTTTACAACACATCTTGTATTAGCAAAAATCTTTGTATGTGTGAAATTTGAAGTGAGTTGAAGGCTTTTGGGCGTCTTTTTAAAACCTTGAACTCTATGTGGGGGAGGTACCAGAAGAAATGATCCGATCTGTACCATCTTCATACCAGATCTTGCGTTGATAGAACTATTGAGATGTGTCAAGTCTATATGGAATCGGATGTAAATTTCGCGTGGATATTGAAAATGTTAACCCTTTGTGGGGGAGGTACCAGAAGGAGTGGATCGTTATATCTCATCTTCACATAAGATCTTGTGTTAGTAAAAATAATGGGATGTGTGAAATATGAATATATTATTTCGGATTTTATAATCGTTTTGGTTATTCAAAACTTTGACCATTTGTGGTGGAGGTACCAGAAGGAATGGTGCAATCTCCTGTATCTTCATAACAGATCTTGTGTTGATAGAAATAATGAAGTCTGAATGGAATCGAATGTTAATTTCGCATTTTATTAGCTTCGAAGGGAATTCAACATTTTGACCGTTTGTCGGGGAGGTACCAGAAGAAGTGGACCGATATATTCCATCACTCTGCTGGAATTTTTAAAGTAAAAATGTGAGAGCTAAAGTAAACTTCGATCCTCATGAACAGAACTGCGATGACATATCTCCAACCAAAAGGTTTGACAAAAATGAGGAACGGATTCGAAACAAGGATGAATGGAATATAGCCAATTTACTTCTAATGAGTCTGCCGATAAATACAGACGAATCAAAGATGAAACAAGTTAAAAAGCAGTAAGTTCGGCCGGGCCGAACTTTGAATACCCTCTACCATTTGGAACGAATTTGGAAATTTTCAAAAAATAAAATCTTTAAAACATTCTGTTAAAATTTTAAAAATACCAAATATAGCCGTAATATTGGGGTTTATACGACGTGGGCCTACATAGGCATTGTTTGTCATAAGCCATTACCATATTCAAATTCGAAACTTGAAATTAACGGTGAATAATGTAGCTAAAATCATCAAAGTATCGTATATAGGGAGGTACCGTTATATCGGAGCTGTGCGAAGACCTGGACCTGCATAGACAAGTTCCTGTCACAGGCTGTAGCATCCATTACGAAATTCAAATACGACATCTCAAACAACTTCGGTGGGTATCATCAAAATACCGAATATAAGGATGTACTGATATATGGGGCCTATACGAAGACCTGGACCAGCATAGACAATTTTTGGTCACAGACTGTAGTTCCGATAACGAACTCTAAATACGTAATTTGAAACAATTCTGGTGAATAATGACGTTAAAATCATGAAAATACCGAATATCGGGAGGTTCCGTTATATGGGGCCTATACGAAGACGTGGACCTTCACAAACAATTTTCTGTCTTAGGGTGAAGTATCCAATTCGAACTTCAAATACTAAATTTGAAACAATTCCTGTGAATAATGTCGATAAAATCATCAAAATATCGAATATCGGGAGGTACCGTTGTATGGAGACTATACGAAGACGTGGACTTGCACAGACAATATTCTGTCTTAGGATGTAGTATCCATTTCGAACTTCAAATACCTAATTTGAAACAATTCCGGTGAATAATGTCGCTAAAATCATCAAAATACCGAATATCGGGAGGTATCGTTATATGGGGGCCATATGAATACTGTCTACTGGAAAAATAAACATGTGTGCCAAATTTTAGCCATATATCTCAATTCATTCGAAAGATAGCGTGATTACAACAGACAGACAGACGGACAGACAGACAGACGGACTTCGCTAAATCGACTTAGAATTTTACGCTGATCAAGAATATATATACTTTGTTGGGTCTGACATGAGAATTTCGAGGAGTTACAAACCAAAGTTAATGTACCCTCCATAGTATGGAGGAGGGTATAAAAAGACACGGAATCTTCAGTGAACAACTAAGAATTGGCTGCTGCGACAAGGTGGATGGAAAGTGCAGTGTTTTTGCAAACAGAGATCTTTGCAATCATTTAAGCGGCAAAATTTATTAAAACTGTGGAGAATGAAATAAGTAAACCATTGGCAATTTGTGTGGATAGCGACTCTTAATGAATCTCTACAATAAATTTCGATGTAGTCCTGATGTGTAGAACGGCTGGGGGAAATCTGCTCACTACACTCCGGCTTTGTTGAGTACCTGGTTCGCAGTCAACACACCTTAAAGTCGCTAATATCCTCCCTCTGATTATGACCCCCTCTTTGTAATTTTACCAGACTGCATTCCAAGTGCAGGTGATTGTTGACACTAAGTCAGCGGAGTAAAACCGCAAATGGTTATAGATTCAAAAAAAAATTTACTTCTCAAGCCAAAATTTTATTATTAGCTTGGGGCTTTAAAATTGTCTATGGAAGAATCCCTAAAGTCTGCAGTTGACGATTTAACAATTTTTTTATTGTGACAAAATCTCCAGTAACAAAAAACATGTCTCGGTAGAATACTGTCATATATTGCATACTTTAATACGATTTGCAAAATTTAGTTTTGAAATCATGTCGGACACCATGCTACGATTATGTCCTCCTGCGAATATTAAGAATTCATATTATACGTTTTCGTTTTCGACACCGCTGACCATGTGTCCTTAAGGAGCGTCTCGTTAGAGGACGCTGTTTTGCCAACGATATGTTAGTCACGTCCGAGACATAACACGCCATTTTTGTATAAATTCACATTAGAAAACAATAACAGGGACAGTTTTCGTCTGGTCATGGAAAATATGATTACAACATTATTTTAATTCTTGGACATTTCATTTCATGGCAGCAGACAATGGTAATAGCATTAAAAGGGTATTATCAAAAAACAATTGGATTTTTGCAAATATACTGAGCGGAATATTGTATTGCGATTTTCTGCGCTGTATAAATTGTATTTATGAATGTTCGGGCATGAGCAAAATAATTTAAGGAAGATCTAAAATTTTTTCGTGATTTGTCCAAATGTTGAATACTTTTGTTAGGTTAAGTTTGTTATTTTTTAGAGGTTTCATGCTAACTTATGTAATGCGAAATCTACGATTGATCTAGAAAAATTCTAGAAAAGTTTCAGCCAAAGAAAGTCAAGCCATATAACTTTTAACCCATTCTCATGTATAACCTTCGTTAGCGTTGTGTGCCAGTTCTGCTCCGTAGTTAGACAAACAGTGTACACCACAGGAGGTGGTTTGCCTGCAGGCAGGTCGATTTCGAAGTTTGGCTATATCGGCCCACGAAATCGTATAGCTTTCACATAACGGTAACCCCGATATTCGGTACTTTGAAGATTTTAGATACATTTTTGAATGGAATCGTGTGGAATTCGGTTTGACCTAGATAGGTCTACGATATCGTATATACCCCATATAACGATACCACCTGATATTCTATACTTCGATGATTATAGCCGAATTTTTCAATGGAATTGTCTGAAAATCTATACAAGATATTCCTTCTGATTACTTTACCCCC